TCGTTCCTAAATATTTTATTTAGTTTTATTATGTCTATCCTTTGTTATTTACTACTATATAGGTACATATTGGTAAGATTTTCTACTACAGTAGACCTGTATATTTTTTTCTTACCTCCATTTTTCATATATTTTTAATATATATGAATGTTATATTATCAGAACAGAATGTCTATTAATAACTATTAATAAAATCATCTGTTAGAAACAGACGTTATATAAAGACATTAAGATATATATAAATATATAATATTATAATTTAATAATATTAATGTTATAACGCATTATATTAGTAACAAAGATATTTCGATGATGCAAAGTTAAATCGTTCCTAAATATTTTATTTAGTTTTATTACGTCTATCCTTTGTTATTTACTACTATATAGGTACATATTGGTAAGATTCTCTACTACAGTAGAGCTTTCTTACCTCCATTTTTCATATATTTTTAATATATATAAATGTTGTATTATCAGAGTAGTTTTATTAGTGTCTACTAATAAAATCATCTGTTAGCAACAGACGTTATATAAAGACATTAAGATATATATATAATATTATAATTTAATAATATTAATGTTATAACGCATTATATTAGTAACAAAGATATTTCGATGATGCAAAGTTAAATCGTTCCTAAATATTTTATTTAGTTTTATTACGTCTATCCTTTGTTATTAATTGTATTACTAAAAAAAAAAGAAAAAAAAAAATGTACTAACAAATTTTCAAAGAGCCAACACCATGAATGCGTTGTATAAATTCCATTGCTGATAAACGGCACATGAGAATCACACATTTCTCACGGGACTTTTGATAGTTATCGTAAAGCATACTTTTCACATCCGACCCGATAGCTTCCATCTCTGTGATTACCTTCTGATTACATCAAAGAGTACGGCTCTTCCGTATTTTCTTCGGAGTCGAGAAATCGATACAAAGCGGTTAAAGCAGTTAGTTTTAATAAGATGAAAAGAAGTTCCCATCTGCAACACTGATGGACGTTTTTGCAGCTTT